GTCTCGGACGTAATTGTTGAGACATAAGATGCCCAACATTCACGTTTAGCCGTACAGATGGCCCTACGGGCCACCGCACTCGCTTTCCGAAAGAAATTTAAAGAATCGGTCGTCTGCCTACGGCGGTGCCTCTTCCAGGCTGCACGCTTACAGCGGACAGCCCGAGCACAGTCCGCATTCCACCAGGGAACGCACTTCCGCGGACCCCGAGAGGAAGAGCAAGGAATAGAACGGAGGGCAGCGTTGAAGACAGTCATGAAAAAGGAGGAGAGCGCGAGAGAGAGGCAGAAGGGAGAGGTCAGAGAGAGCAGCACTGAGGGTAAATAGGGTCCAGTCTGCCTTAGCAAACTGCCTCCTAGGGAAAGAGAGGGAAGGGCGAAAAGAGAAAAAGGAAACAAGGATGGGGAAATGATCACTTCCATGGAGGTCATCAAGAACCTGCCACGTGAAATCTAAGTAAAGAGAAGAAGAGCATAGAGAAAGATCAAGACAAAAATAGGGTGCGAATCCGAGAGCCCAAATGAGTGGGCTCACCAGAATTCAGAAGAGACAGGGAAGAAGAGAAGAGAAACGGCTCAAGGAGGCGATCCCGGGTATTCGTCAGAACGTCACCCCAAAGGGAATGACGACAATTGAAGTCACCCAGCAGGAGCACAGGCTCCGGTAAGGAGTCTAGGAGGTGTTTCAAATCAGGAAGAGAGAGCGGGACACTCGGGGGGAGATAAATGGAACAAACTGTGTACCATTTCCCCACAAAGATACGAGCAGCAGAACAATGGAGAGGCGAAGGAAAAAGTAAAGGAACAAAGGGAACATCAGCACGAATCAAGAGAGCAGAAGAATTAGAAGCCCCAGCAATGCCTGAGGGGGGGGGAGAGAAAGGAATAGCCACGAAAACGACCAGGACAAGCACCAAGCATTGGCTCCTGGAGACAGACACAATGGGGCGAAAACCGCGAAATCAGAAGTTGGAGGTCGAGGAAATTGGCGTAATAACCTCGAACGTTCCATTGAAGAATGGACAACGACGAGAAGAGAAAGGACAAAACCAGAGAACAAGGAAGAAACCAAGGCGAAAGAGCAACAGAGCACGTTAAAGAATATCAGGGTCGGGATCAGGGTCAGCAAAGTCAGGGTTAGGGGGCATGGGTAAACTGAGCAAAGACGGAGGGAAGGAAGCGGGAGAACAGATCAGAGGCGGGCGGGCGGGGTCCGGAGGAGGAGGAAGGAGGAGGAGACAACGGAGAGGAGCAGTCAAGGACAGCAGCAGGAAGAGGGGGAGTAGAAAGAGGGGAGCGCACCCCAGCAAGAGCAGCAACCGAAAGGGAAGCAGGGGGCCAAAGAAACCTCCATAGCAGGAACAGGGGGCGCAATCACTGAAACGGGAGGGGAAGGAGCAACAGAACCAGACGTAGGAGCCTAGGAAGAAAGCGAAGCCTTCTTACCCGCCGGGGAAGAGGAAGGAGAGGAGCCAGGCTTACGCTTCTGACTTAAAGAGACCGGTGTCCCAGCAACTACGTACCGGGCAACGGATTCCAGTGTCTCAACAGGAGAAGCCGAACGAGAGCACACACGACGGCCGCTAGGAGAGCGATGGACATCCGCCCGCACCGACAGGCGGTGGGGAGAGCCGATAGATGGAGGAAGAGGATGGGAAGGAGGACCGGAGGTGGACGAGGAAGACGACACAGGAGACACGACAGACCGGGTAGAAGGAAGGGGAACCCCGGACAGAGGACCAGGAGGATCCTTCGGGAGACAACCCAAAGGAACAGAGGGTGCAGTGGGCGCATCAGGGTCCAAGGCCCGGAAACGGTTGTGAGTCTGAGGAAGGAGGGAAGGACGAGGAGAGGAAGAGCGCAACACGCGAGAATAAGAGATATTAGCATAAGGCGGGAGCCGGCGAACCTGGCGTCTCGCCTCAGGAAAAGATAAACGCTCCCGGTGCTTTAAGTTGATGACGGCTGCCTCAAGCTTAAAATGGACACACGCACGGGAGAAGGTAGGATGGGCCTCACCGCAGTTGAGGCAACGAGCCTGGGGAGAAGCGCACTCCGACTTAGAGTGACCTTCGCCACCACACAAAGGACAGAGAGAGACAGTCCCGGAGCAGCGGAGGGCACCATGCCCAAACCTCCAGCACTTGTTGCAGAGCCGAGGAGAAGGAATGTACTCCTGGACAGAGCACCTGGCACCAGCAAGAATGACAGAGGGTGGAAGGGTCCTACCATCAAAGGTAATCTTCACAACCCGGAGGGGTTGACGGCGACTACCACGAGGGGGACGAGTAAACGTGTCCACCTGGAGAATAGAATGGCCCTGGGCAGCAAGGATATGTCGAATATCGTCGTGGCAGTAGCGCAGGTCCCGAACACCAGTCGCAACATGGGGCGGGAGCAAAATAGTGCCAACACTGGCATTCAACTGAGCGTTCTTCGAGACCCGAACGGGGGTCTCGCCAAGGCAGGATAAGGCAGCCAAACGGGAAGCAGCATCCTGAGAAGGAGCAGCAACGACACGTGTACCGAGACGAGTGGGGTTTAAAGTAATGGAGGCATCCACGGAATCAATGAGATGTCGATGGAGGGAGAAATCGTCAGGAGGCGCAGAATCAAGAGGGAGGAGATCAAAATATTTGGCCCACGAAGCGGGACCAAACAAGGCTTGATAGGTAGCAGAACTGGAAGGAATCGAGCGAGGGCGGCCGTGACGAGGACGGCGGTGAGAACCCCCAGAGAGAGAGGGGTTAAAAGGCGCAGTAGTTACAACTAGAGAAGGAGCCGCGCCAGGGGACGAGGTAGTCACCACTGGGGGCTTGGGGCTCGACCCAACCACAGAGGAGGTTGGGGAGCCAGAGGAAGGAGTCAGAGAGGCCAAAGGAGGAGCAAGGTCGGGGCCCAATGCAGCGGAGGCTACAGAGCCCGGTCTTCCAATACGGACCGACTCGGGGGCTTGGTCGCCCACCCCACGAGCCTGAGAAGGTAAACCAGAAGAAGCCGAAGCAGGGGTTATCATGACGAAAGGAAGAATTCACTCACGAATGTGCCCCCACACCCACCATGGAGCCACAATTAGAGGCAGGACACCCAACAAGAAGCTATCGCTGATCTTGTCGGGGCCTCCTAGGGGTGCGTCGTGAGTATACGCCCCACAAACGCCACCTTAAGAAACCGACAGTCCGTCGAGATCGGGTTCAGTGACGAAGTGGGGATTGACAATAAAAGGTTCCCCTCGCTCTCGACGGCGGGTACTGCAGTTCTACGGGTGCATGAGTATGCCTCCTCAAGCACCCGGGCGTCAAAATAGAAGAAGTCCAAGGGAAGAACCAGAACGAGCAAAAGTTCGGTAGGAAACGGCAAGCAGATAGGAGAAGAGGGGGGAGAAAAACGAAACAGAAGGAAAAGGAAAAGATGCCCAGCAGAATTGGAGAGGACGGCAGCAGGAGCACAAGGCTAGAAAAAGACAGAGGACTGTCCCAAGGAGCATCACACTCCGGCAGCCGCCCACTAAGCCCCCACACGGCGACAACGAGCCGAGCGGGGAGGGGGACCAGCACAATTAGAGGAGACAGCAACAGAAGTTAAAGGCCAGAAAAGGACAGAGGACTGTCCCACAGAGCATCACACTCCGGCAGCCGTCCACGAAGCCCCCTCACGACGCCAATGGGCCGGATGGGGAGGGGGCACCTAATAGGAAGATAATGCATTTCATGCTGGGGCCTCCTAGGGCTGCGTCGTGAGCATACGCCCCACAAACGCCACCTTAAGAAACCGACAGTCCGTTGAGAGCGGGTTCAGCGACGACAGGGGGATTGACAATAAAAGGTTCCCCTCACTCAAGACGTCGGGTACTACAGTTCTACGGGTGCAAGAGTATGCCTCCTCAAGCACCCGGGCTTCTAAGTAGAATTAGTCCAAAGGAATAACCAAAATAAGCAAAAGGTCGGTAGGAAGAGACAGATAGGAGAAGAGGGGGGGGGGGGAGGGGGAGAAAAACGAAACAAAAAAGGAAAAGGAAAAGCGATCCAGCACCATTAGAAGACAGCAGCAGGAGTGCAAGGCCACCAAAGGACAGAGGACTGTCCCACAGAGCATCACACTCCAGCAGCTGTCCACTAAGCTTCCCTCACGGCGCCAACGGGCCGGATGGGGAGGGGGGACCCCCAGCAAATAAAGCGCGTTTGTTTTAAAGGATCCACTTGTGCTGGATACGCTCAACCCTTTCATCTACCACCGAAGAATACACGGGTCTCTATGCAAAGTGGATGTACAGGGTTGCAGTACACTTGTGAACCGTCACAACAGAAGAGCGAAGGAGTCACTCCTTACTAAAGACTGAACACCGAGCCACTGACAATGTTAAGTTACCACCTATTAAAGGTAGGGTGGCTGTAGGAATTAAGTGAAGAGATATGCCGTTAAAGAACTGCAGAAATAACACTTTTGCAGAGAAATGGTCAAATTTAATGAGGATATTAATTTTAATTTTCTTTTAACTTTTTTTTTTCAATTTACTGTATTAAGAGGTCCAGCAGACCACCACGTCCCCCCCCCCCCCCCCACCCTCGTGCATCTGCACCCAAGTCATATAGTCAGTGATGAAAGTATCCTCTTAAGACTTATTTACCAGGTAGTCAACCTTCGAGTATCAGTTTTATAGATAGCCTAAGAACGCTGCCATTAAAGCTTTAAGTACCTTATATATTTTAGTCTTACATTAATAGTCAGTTTTCTCCTTTAGCACTGTGGCCGTTACGTTTTCACGACTTTCCTGCGATGTGTTTCGTTGGATCACTGACCATCTCTATGGTTCGAGTTGCCGAATATTTAGTTTGTTTACTAGACATCCCGCCCAGGAAATATTTCCCCATGTATAACACGCACTATCGGAACCATTAGAATACAGCTTATAAGTATCTACTCCATCTTACCAACTGCTTAAATTTTTGAACAGGCAAACAGACATTTACTGTGGACACAGTTACGTATTAAAAAGAACAATTCTTGAATAAAGTTTAATAGACCATACAGACCGATAATGTTAAATATGTTTAATATTACGTTCTTTAAAAATCTTAGAACGGATGAAGGTGCTAGAGCCGTCTATAACCGTAGCGGGCTCCGGGGACGAGGACCGTGTCGGTGACTGTGCGGTAGTCTGTGAACACTGTGCTCTTAGTATTTATGTTTGTTCTCACCAACGTTGTCGTGTACGACAGCCTGTGGGGAGTAAATTGGACAATTAATAGTTATTCTTTCAAGTAATGAAGAGACTGGCAGTTACAGTACAATACTGTAGAATACTGTAGATAGTCCCGCCAGGCGGGACTGGCGGGAAACGCTGGCGGTGGTACTGGCTCCGTCACAGCTGCTGAAATTTCGTGCTTAATTTCGTCTCCACTCAACGTTGCATGGCCTAACTGCTGCCTAGCACGAGTTAAGTGCATGGAGACTTAATATGACATAACTCACAGTGAACCTCAACAGAAATCAACCAAAATTAACCAATTTTCGCCTACCTTTCTACGACCCTTCTGCCAAGTGTTCCCAATACGCTAGTCATCCCTACTATAATTCACCAAGTATCTACCTTTAGAAACGCTACCAAGAATCTATTCGTCGAAAACATGCCCAAACATAACAACAAGCAAGGTAGGGGTGCCTCTCGCTCTGGTGCCATTACTCCTAGAGTTCTGAATGAAACACTGGCAACGCCGCAACCCTCGCCGATGATTGTAAACACAGCATCTGCTCCCTCTCCTCACTCCCCCCCTTCAACTCACCTCGGATCTCTAGCTTTAGAATTCACTCAATCTATGGCTCCCTGTTTAAACTTCAAACCTCTCCGAAGTAATCCATGGCTCCAGAAACTGCACAACCTTGTGAAAATGCAATCAGAAGCTATTTTGGCCCTCCAAGACACAGTCGCCCGACAACAACATACCATAGACTGCCTCCTTAAATCGTCGATGAACAACAACCAAGAAATTCTCAACGTACAAACTGTTGCAATGGATGAAATACGTAAGATTCAGGCTGAAGAAACCCTCACAGCTCAAAGTGACCTCCTTAAAAAGCTGGAAAAACAGATCAATCTCCTTCAGACTCACCAGGCGGCTTCCAAAGATGACCAAGAGCAACAACAACTTCATGACTCCCTGATAATTAGCTCTACTGATCTACCTGCTGAACAACAAGGTGAGGATTGCTGTAACATAGCCAAGACCCTAATTAATTCAAAGATCAGTGTCAATGTTCAAATCAAATCGGCTATTAGGATAGATAAAAACAATCCCCGTAACAGGAGAATGCTCATCAAACTTGCAAATCCCTCTGAGAAGTTTGACCTCATGCAAACAGCTGCTCAGCAAAAAACCAACCTCTATATAAATGAGTGTCTTACTAAGCAGCGTAGATCCCTCCTCTACAGGCTGCGCCAAATACGCAAACAAAACCTTGGTCTTATCAAGCAGTGCTACACAAGGAATGGTACGATTATCGCGAAGAAAGAAGCTACAGGAAAAGATATGAAATAAAATGTGACCAACAACTCCTGGCCTTCTTAAGTGATTGTGGTATATCTGAAAACCTGAACCCGACCAATACCAGTACTTAAAATAACTCTTTCAGTGCCTGAGCCTAACCTAACTTTGTCTAAGGTGCTGTCTCTGCCTTACCATTTACCTGATGTTCTCCTATTCATATAATTTCCTAATTAATCCATCAAGTCTCCATGCACTTATGCAAGCATCTACCTCAGTTTCATTGTAAAATTTTACTCTTAAATCTAATCTTACCCTATTTCCATTTTATATTTTAAATTTAAATTTATTTGTATTGATCTATGTCATTTATTGAAATCAATTATTGATCTCTTTTTTGTTCTTTTTGTTCATTTTTGTTCTTAATTAAGTTCTACTAATTATAAGTTAAAACTAAGCTTAATAAAATTTATTTTCTTTAAGATTATTTTACTTTACAATTATCATTTGTCAAATTTTTTTATATATTCATCTTGACAATCTCTACTGATTTTTTGTTCTCTCCGCCAAACTTGTGCATCCTCCATGGCTATCTAGTGACCTTAATTCCACCTCTAATTGTTTCAATTCCTTGTTTGCTTGCATTTATTGTTGTGTCCTGCCATAATTATTCTCTAATTTAGCAGACTCAATACTTTGTAAGCTCTTATTGTATTGTTATATTATTATATTGTGTTTGCTATAATTACTTCCTATTTTTACAGCAGATTTGTTTTTCATCTGTTCATGTAATTGCTCATCTTATTGTATGTGACATTCTTTTCTATATTGACATATTTTCTGTCTATTGTTACTTACAGTGTACCTGAGAGTACCTGTAAGCAATCTACCTCTTTTTTAATTTTTGCTCAATTTTTTTGTATTTGTTTAGTCCTGTTTATATTTTTGTTTTGTATATCTATATCTTGTGTTTTGTATAGTCCATGTTTATATGTTTTTTTCTTTAATCTCATTCATTACCTAGGTTTCCTAGCCTAGCCATACTCCCTTACTCCATTGTACCCCTGTAAGCCCCTTTTGTGTTTGTTTGGTACAGTATTGTGTACTTTTATTTCTTTTTGTTTTTCTTGTTTTTCCGGCAATCAGCTTTTTTTTATGCAGTCAAGTATAGACCCAGAACTTAACCTCTTATCCACTATCTATGACAATAATCACTTTAATGATCTAAATTGCAGATATTTTGCAGCACATGATGTAAACAATGTATTAACATTGTCACAATATCTCTGTAATCAATTTGAACGTTAGATCCCTAGGCAAACACTTCGATGATGTTAGTGCCTTGATTGAAGCTATTGACAACAATTTCTCTTTTATTATACTTACTGAAACATGGTTGAAAGATGATACTACTCAACTCTTTAACATGCCTAACTACTCAGCAATCCACAACTGTCGTCAACTTCAGAGAGGTGGTGGCACTGCTCTTTACTACCACCAAGAACTAACATGCTTAAAAGAAATTAGAACTAGAGACTGCTATGGGGAGTATATCTTCGCCAGCTTCAGAGTCAAGGGTGCCGAGTCTATCCTGTCTGTGGGTGCAGTTTATAGAATTCCTAACACTGATGTGTCCGAATTCAACTCAAACCTTAGAAATCTAATACTTGATAACAGACTGAACAAAAACCACCTAATTATCGCAGGGGACTTTAATATTGACCTCTGCGAGCCAGAACACCCTACTGCTGTTAGCTAACTCAACTGTATGAATTCCTGCTTCCTCATACCCTTAATCACTAGACCTACTAGAATCACTGATAGCACTGCCACGACTCTTGATCACATCTGGACAAATATAACCTCTCCGCTTACTTCAGGTATAATCACCGATAGCACTACAGACCATTACCCCACATTTCTCTTAACTAACATTAGCAAACCACCTCTAGAAACAAGGGAATTAAGCTTTAGGCTGCACAATGAAACTGCTATAAACAATTTTATAACTGCTGCTGATAATGTCAACTGGGAGTCCGAGTTAGGTAACATAGGGGACATCAACCTAGCAGTGCAATCTTTTCTACTAACAACTCTTAGCCTTTATAATACCCACTGTCCTATGCTTACAAAACAAGCCACAACCAAAAGGCTTAACAATCCCTGGCTTACAAAGGGAATACTTAAATCTATTAATAAAAAACATGACCTTGAGAAAAAGTATAGGTTAGGGATTGTCTCCAAAGAATTCTCAAAGAATTACTCATTATTGCTATCCAAGATAATTAGACGAGCCAAAACTAAGTACTACGAAGATAAATTTACCCAAATAAAGAGCAACATTAAACAAACATGGAGAACAATTTCACAAATATTGGGATCAAAGAAGTCTTTAAATAAGAAACCGACTCTCCTGTCTAATAACGATGGTCAGCTTTCAGCCTCTGATTCTGCTATTGAGTTCAATAGGTTCTTCTTTTCCATTGGTTCATCCCTTGCTAATGATATTCCATCTTCCAGTACTGACATTAAGGACTATCTGACAGGGAACTATCCCCAGTCTCTGTACCTAAAGCCTATTAATTCCATTGACGTCAATGAGATAATCCATTCCCTTAAAACCAAGTCTGGTGCCCTTGAGGAGATACCAACTTTAATCTACAAAAAAGCCTCCAGATCTTTAGCCCCTGCTATTGCTTTGCTCTTCAACAAGTCACTTTAACTCCAAACCTTTCCAGATATTCTAAAAAAAGCGAGAGTAACGCCTGTCCACAAATGTGGTGATCTCACAGATGTTAACAACTACAGACCTATATCAATCCTGCCAAACTTGTCAAAAATTTTTGAAAAACTAATCTATAAGCAGCTTTACTCATATCTAGCCAAACTCAATATACTTAGCCCTTGCCAATATGGCTTCAGGCCCAAAAAAAGCACTAACGATGCACTTATTAGTATGTTCAACTCGATTCATACAGCTCTTGATAAAAATGAGTTCCCTGTTGGGTTATTTGTGGACCTGCGTAAAGCTTTCGATACTGTCAACCACCAAAACCTTCTTCTTAAATTACATCATAATGGTGTCAGAGGACACTCCCTACAATACCTCAAATCCTACCTTACTGACAGGCTCCAATGTGTTTCTGTGAATAATACAATTTCTCCCACCCTACCCATCAACATTGGTGTTCCCCAGGGCAGCATACTTGGCCCTCTCCTCTTTCTCATCTACATTAATGACCTTCCAAATGCCTCCCAACACCTCAAACCAATCCTATTTGCTGACGACACAACCTTCATTTACTCCAGTCCTGATCCCCTTGCTCTAAATGCCACAGTAAATACCGAGCTAAATAAAGTCCATCTGTGGCTAACTGCCAACAAACTCACCCTTAACATTGACAAAACTTTCTATATTCTGTTTGGCAATAAATCCTCTAATCAAATAAATCTCAAAATAAACAATACCCAAATTTGTAACAAATTAGATGGCAAATTCCTTGGCATTCTCATTGACCACAAGCTGAATTTCCAGGGACACATTCTAAACATATCTAAAAAAGTTTCAAAAACTGTGGGCATTCTTTCTAAGATCAGATATTATGTACCACGCCCTGCCCTGGTGACTCTTTTACTCCCTTATCTATCCATATCTCAACTATGGTATTTGTGCTTGGGGCTCTACTACCCAAAATCATTTACGTCCTCTAATTACTCAACACAAAGCTGCTATTAGGACAATATCCAATTCTGGCCCCAGACATCACTCGGTACCCCTATTCAAATCCCTGAATATGTTAGACATTAAGTCACTGCACATTCTCTCATGTGTACTATACATATACAAAACGCTAAATTGTAATGCCAATCCTGATCTCAAAAGCTTCATAGAAGGTTGTAACAGAACCCATGAGCATCACACCAGAAATAAATACAGTTTTGATCTTCCTAGAGTACGACTTAATCAAACCAGAAATGCTCTACAAATCTAGGGGCCCAGAATGTGGAATGACCTTCCCAACCATGTTAAAGACAGTACCTCTCTCAACCAGTTTAAGATAAAAACTAAACACTACCTAATAAATTCCCTGTAACCTACCTCACTCCTCTATTGTCAACCCATGGCCGTTATTTTCTTTTTTTTTAATCAACACCGTTTGTCAACCTATTGTATTTGTGCTGCTTTTTCAGTCATGTTCCCCTTTTTTTTATCTTTATTTGTATTTGTTCTAAACACTTTTTATTCTTTATGCTCAATTAGTATTAAGTTCTAGATATTAATGTTTTTCTTGCCCGAAACGCATTGCGTAATAGTGGCTTTAGGCATTGTATGTACTAGCTCTATCTATATATCAATCCATTAATGTAACATCACTTGTATGTATATACCTTACCTGAATAAACATCTGAATCTGAATCTGAATCTAGATCTGGCATCGAACTTACACTTGGGTAGCAGTAGTAGTGTAGGTAGTCTGCATGATTACGTACGAGGTGTGGGCGATTGTCACGTAGTCTAAAGACCTTTCAGTCACAATCCTGAAGTCCGACTGCACGTACGTGACCGTTAGTGTCGAAGGTCTGACAACTACCGTTGTCTGGAGGGCTACGCGGTCATCCACCGGCGTCTGTCCCACCTGTGAAAGAATACTTGAACTAGTCCAAGGTCAGCGTCCAGACCATCGTTTATCACAATACATACCAAGTACTCACCGCGCGTGTTCCAGTGGTTACAGTCTGGACGGTGAGGGAAGTGAGGGTGACAGCCACACTCTGGAAAGCCTGGTCAGTGAGGGTGACGAAGCGGTCGATGGTGAAGAGCTGGGTGACAGTGGGGTTAAATAGTGCATCCACTGTGCTCACTTGAGGACTGCCATACCTTGGACCAGCGTAAGGAGCCTTACCGCTGCTGCCAGAGGTAGCTCGAGGCCCGCTGCTAACTTGTCCAGCCCTGTCACCGCTGCCTACTCCTTTGCCAGAACTGCCAACTGGACCGCCGCCGATACCTTGGCCGAGGTTAATACCCACTCCTTGACCGCTGCCAAGGCCTAATCCAGCACCCAAAAGTGGACCGCTGCCGACGCCCGGGCCGCCACCTACAACTGGACCGCTGCCTAGTTGACCCGATGACCCCTGAGAGCTGGTACTAGCCGCCCCTCTGGTCTAACTGCCATAACCATAGCCAGGCTGATGGGTTAGAGGAAGGCAAACCATTTAAAAGGTACATGTAAATACGCCATTGTAAGTTAAAATTACAAAGAAATCATAGGTCTAGGAGCTGCGTAGAGGCACTGCTGCGCCGTAGTGGCTATACAAGTCTTATAGTACAGTAAAGTAAACCAAAAGACCGCTCCAAAAATTTAACAAAATCTATACATTTATAAAAGTATGCGCTAGATGTTACATACCTGTAAGGTTAAATTTAAGCAGTACCAAATAGTTAGTTGTAAAGGCCAATTTTTCATCTTCCACCCATAGTGAATGATGGAAACAATTCATTAGACTCGTTACAAGCCTTAATGTGACCCTTTACCACTGAGCATTCATGGTTGAGAAGGGCCTTAACCATTGGTATAATTTTGTAATGTTTTTTTTAAATTTTACTACAATAAAAGGGTTATGATAATGCTATGATTTGACTGGAAACTTTTTAGTGGTACTAGTACCTTATTATTTAGGAATGAGAGATCTATTACATAATATATGAACCAACAAAACAATTTAGTTTTAAAATTCAGAAGGAACATTGTATACTAATATCAATATAACAAAGTTAGAATTGTTTAGGCTGCGACTAAGCTAGCAAGACATTCGTGACTTATGGACCCCCCCTCCCCCCGTGATTTAGGCAAATTAAAATCTAATTTTCGTAAACAAAATTGGAAGGCGACGTTTACTCACGGTAGGAAGTAGTGCGACGACTAGCTTTTGAGATATTACCAGGGTCGTCCATATTAATAGTACCCAGGAACAGGAAAACATCTTTGAGAAGGAATAGTTGCTGCATGAAAGTTAAATCAATAAAATCATCTGATGCGGTACAAGTTTGAACAAGAAGTGCTAGAGGGTGGTTATAATTTACCTTAAGTGTAAAAAGACAGATGATCAATTAAAGTGAACACTATTTAGTTTACCTTCAATTATCAGGTGTTAAACTTAAGCTTGCATTTCCTATAGCTTTTTAAGTATATTTGAACAAATTATCTGTGGGAGAGTATACTGAGAATATAAGAGGACTAAACACAAACCACCCAGATACTACCTTCATTGTGGAAGAAAAGTAAAACACCAACTAACGTCACACAACACCGGTTCCATAACATTCATGGATTTAAACAAATAACAATAACTATCATTTTATACACAAACCTTGAAGCACGGAGAGAATGTTTTCACCTCAAAAAGTTGGGGATTGAATGACAAATGTAGGAAGGTGGCCCGACTCGTTGCCTTCCCCACACACTATAAACATACGCACTAACAAGAGACTATGGAAGAAGGATAGGAAAGCTCTATAAAATATATAGATCATGTAACACCCAACCCAACGCTCGCCCGGCCTAATAGTGCCATCTATTGACGAGTGCGCCAACTACAGGAGAAAGTGGTACTATTGCATTCCCCTTCCCTCTAACATTACATCATTGACTTTCTTTATTTATTGGAAAAGATCTTTGTTTCTTAATTATGTTGTGTTAAATAGTTTGTGGATAACTTCATTAATTACAATGTTTTCACTTATTTTACCGTGTTTAACTTCCTATATAAAAACAAATATTAAACAAATATGAGTCCATAATGTCACCTTACCTTGAGTTACCTTGAGGTGTTTCCGGTGCTTAGCGTCCCCGCGGCCCGGTCGTCGACCAGGCCTCCTGGTTGCCGGACTGATCAACCAGGCTGTTGGACGCGGCTGCTCGCAGCCTGACGTATGAGTCACAGCCTGGTTGATCGGGTATCCTTTGGAGGTGCTTATCCAGTTCTCTCTTGAACACTGTGAGGGGTCAGCTAGTTATGCCCCTTATGTGTAGTGGAAGCGTGTTGAACAGTCTCGGACCTCTAATGTTGATAAAGTTCTCTCTCAGAGTACCAGTTGCACCTCTGTTTTTCAACGGGGGTATTCTGCATATCCTGCCATGTCTTCTGGTCTCATGTGATGTTATTTCTGTGTGCAGGTTTGGGACCAGCCCCTCTAATATTTTCCACGTGTAAATTATTATGTACCTCTCCCGCCTGCGCTCAAGGGAGTACAGTTTTAGGCTCTTTAGTCGGTCCCAATAGTTTAGATGTTTTACTGAGTGGATTCTAGCAGTAAAGGATCTCTGCATGCTCTCCAGGTCAGCAATATATCCAGCTTTGAAAGGTGCTGTCATTGTGCAGCAGTACTCTACTCTAGAGAGCACAAGCGTTTTGAAAAGTATCATCATTGGTATTGCATCTCTTGTGTGAAAAGTTCTTGTTATCCAACCTGTCATTTTTCTTGCAGTTGTGACGGCTACTTTATTGTGTTCTTTAAAGGTAAGGTCTTCCGACATGAGTATACCCAGATCCTTTACATCGCCTTTTCGTTCTATGTTATGATTTGCCTGAGTTTTGTACGTGGTTTCCGTTTTTATATTTTCATTTTTTCCATAGCGCATGAGCTGGAACTTATCTTCGTTAAACACCATATTATTGTCCGTGACAAAAAACAAAAAAAAGTCTCGCGGGACTCGAGAACCTGTCGTAAACAGGTTTGTCTGCCGTAAGACCTGCTTGCCAAACCATAACTGATCTCTTGAATATCTTCATCTGTGTTTGAATACATCATTTTCCCTCCCGTGCTGTTATAGGTCAAGTTATTTGAGCTTAGAGAAAATGTTTGTTAAATATGACAGCTAACCACTTAGGATTAGTGGTATTATTAATGGTAGCGGGTCTACAGTACAGGATAACACATCGCGTCAGAAATGAAAGCCGGGAGATCCCCAGCTGGATATTTGGGATGAATAAGGAACTAATGTCGCCAAGATATGGATTACTGGCAAGCATTTCCAGTCCAACTATGCAAAAATCGATGCTGTATGAATTGTGTGTTTGGGAAAGATGATACTACTCAACTCTTTAACATGCCTACTACTCAGCAATCCACAACTGTCGTCAACTTCAGAGAGGTGGTGGCACTGCTCTTTACTACCACCAAGAACTAACATGCTTAAAAGAAATTAGAACTAGAGACTGCTATGGGGAGTATATCTTCGCCAGCTTCAGAGTCAAGGGTGCCGAGTCTATCCTGTCTGTGGGTGCAGTTTATAGAATTCCTAACACTGATGTGTCCGAATTCAACTCAAACCTTAGAAATCTAATACTTGATAACAGACTGAACAAAAACCACCTAATTATCGCAGGGGACTTTAATATTGACCTCTGCGAGCCAGAACACCCTACTGCTGTTAGCTTCCTCAACTGTATGAATTCCTGCTTCCTCATACCCTTAATCACTAGACCTACTAGAATCACTGATAGCACTGCCACGACTCTAGATCACATCTGGACAAATATAACCTCTCCGCTTACTTCAGGTATAATCTCCGATAGCACTACAGACCATTACCCCACATTTCTCTTAACTAACATTAGCAAACCACCTCTAGAAACAAGGAGTTAAGCTTTAGGCTGCACAATGAAACTGCTATAACAATTTTATAACTGCTGCTGATAATGTCAACTGGGAGTCCGAGTTAGGTAACATAGGGGACATCAACCTAGCAGTGCAATCTTTTCTACTAACAACTCTTAGCCTTTATATACCCACTGTCCTACTGCTTCAAACAAGTCACAACCAAAAGGCTTAACAATCCCTGGCTTACAAAGGGAATACTTAAATCTATTAATAAAAAACATGACCTTGAGAAAAAGTATAGGTTAGGGATTGTCTCCAAAGAATTCTCAAAGAATTACTCATTATTGCTATCTAAGATAATTAGACGAGCCAAAACTAAGTACTACGAAGATAATTTACCCAAATAAAGAGCAACATTAAACAAACATGGAGAACAATTTCACAAATATTGGGATCAAAGAAGTCTTTAAATAACAAACCGACTCTCCTGTCTAATAACGATGGTCACTTTCAGCCTCTGATTCTGCTATTGAGTTCAATAGGTTCTTCTCTTCCATTGGTTCATCCCTTGCTAATGATATTCCATCTTCCAGTACTGACATTAAGGACTATCTGACAGGGAACTATCCCCAGTCTCTGTACCTAAAGCCTATTAATTCCATTGACGTCAATGAGATTATCCTTTCCCTTAAAACCAAGTCTGGTGCCCTTGAGGAGATACCAACTTTTTAATCTACAAAAAAACCTCCAGATCTTTAGCCCCTGCTATTGCTTTGCTCTTCAACAAGTCACTTAAACTCCAAACCTTTCCAGATATTCTAAAAAAAGCGAGAGTAACGCCTGTCCACAAATGTGGTGATCTCACAGATGTTAAAACTACACAGACCTATATCAATCCTGCCAAACTTGTCAAAAATTTTTGAAAAACTAATCTATAAGCAGCTTTACTCATATCTAGCCAAACTCAATATACTTAGCCCTTGCCAATATGGCTTCAGCCCAAAAAAAGCACTAACGATGCACTTATTAGTATGCTTAACTCGATTCATACAGCTCTTGATAAAAATGAGTTCCCTGTTGGGTTATTTGTGGCCTGCGTAAAGCTTTTGATACTGTCAACCACCCAAACCTTCTTCTTAAATTACATCATTATGGAGTCAGAGGACCTCCCTACCAATACCTCAAATTCTACCTTACTGACAGGCTCCAATATGTTTCTGTGAATAATACAATTTCTTCCCCCTACCCATCAACATTGGTGTTCCTCAGGGCAGCATACTTGGCCCTCTCCTCTTTCTCATCTACATTAATGACCTTCCAAATGCCTCCCACCACCTCAAACCATTCTATTTGCTGACGACACAACACCTTCATTTACTCCAGCCTTACCCCCTTGCTCTCAAATGCCACATTAAATACTGGGGAGTTAAATAAAGTCCATCTTTGGCTCACTGCCAATTAACTCACCCTTAACATTGACAAAAATTTCTATTTTCAGGTTTGGCAATAAAATCCTCTAATCAAATAAATCTCAAAATAAACAATACCCAAATTTGTAACAAATTAGATGGCAAATTTCTTGGCGTTCTTCATCGACCACAAGCTGAATTTCCAGGGACACATTCAAATATATCAAAAAAAGTTTCAAAAACTGTGGTCATTCTTTCTAAGATCAGATATTATGTACCACGCCCTGCCCTGGTGACTCTCTATTACTCCCTTATCTATCCATATCTCAACTATGGTATTTGTGCTATTGGGTTCTACTACCCAAAATCACTTACGTCCTCTAATTACTCAACACAAAGCTGCTATTAGGACAATATCCAACTCTGGCCCAAGACATCACTCGGTAACCTTACTCAAATCTCTGAATATGTTAGATATTACGTCACTGCACATTTCTTCTCAGTGTGTATTATACATATATAAAACGCTGACTGTAATGCCAATCCTGACCTCAAAAGCTTCATTGAAGGTTGTAACAGAACCCATGAGCATCACACCAGAAATAAATACAGTTTGATATTCCTAGAGTAACGACTTAATCAAACTAGAAAGGCTCTACAAATCAAGGGACCCAGAATGTGGGAATGACCTTCCCAACCAGGTTAAAGACTGTACGTCTCTCAACCAGTTTAAGATAACAAAACTAAACATACCTAATAAATTCCCTGTAACCCTACCTCACTCCTCTATTGTCAACCCATGTCTGTAAATTTTTTTTTGTTTAATCAACAACTGTTTGTTAACCTATTGTATTTGTGCTGCTTTTTCAGTCATGTTCACTCTTTTTTTTTTTTTTTTTTTTTGTATCTTTATTGTATTTGTTCTCAACACTTTTTATTCTTTATGCTCAATTAGTATTAAGTTCTAGATATTAATGTTTTTCTTGCCCGAAACGCATTGCGAATAGTGGCTTTAGGCATTGTATGTACTAGCTCTATCTATAATCAATCCATTAATGTTAACATCACTTGTATGTATGTACTTACCTGAATAAACATCTGAATCTGAATCTGAATCTCTGAATCTGAATCTATTACAAAAACAATAACAACCACCAAAAAATAAATATATATATATTAATATATATATATATATATATATTATATATATATATATATATATATATATATATATAATATATATATATATATATATATATATCTGTCGCCTGGTTGCCAGAACGTTGTATTTGGCCTGCTGTGCAAGACCCGATTTGCCTGATGGGCCGAGTTTTCATGAATTTATATTTTTTTCAATTTTTTTTTCTTGTGAAGTGATGAATCTGTCCATTTCATTATGTATGGGTTGATTATTGGAAATTTGAGTTAAAACTAACATAGATATATGACCGAACCTAACCTAGCCCCTAACCTAATTAACTTGTGTATGGTGAAATGGACAGATTTTATCAC